CATGAAGGGTATGTTTAACACTGAAAAATGCAAGGTTCTCCACCTTGGGAGGAAAAACCTGCAGCATCCTTATAGGTTTGGCAGTGCTATGCTGGCTAGCGCTACGGATGAAAAGGACTTGTGGTCAGTCACAACCACCAAGATGGAAATGAGCCTTCAATGTGATGCAGCGGGTAGTAAAGTGAGCAAAACACTGGCTTGCATCCATAGATACTTCTTAAGTAAATCCCGGGACGTCATTCTCCCATTGTACTTGGCCTTGGTGAGGCCACAGCTGGAGTACTGTGTCCAGTTTTGGGCTCCACAATTCAGAAAGGATGTGGAGAAGCTTGAGAGTCCAGAGAAGAGCCATGCGCATGATCAGAGTTCAGGAAAACAGACCTTATGACAACAGGCTGAGAGCTATGGGGCTCTTTAGCCTGGAAGAGCACAGGCTCAGGGGTGATCTGATGGCTACCTGTAAGTTTATCAGGGGTGTTCACTAGGATCTGGGGAAACGATTGTTCACCAAAGCGCCCCAAGGGATGACAAGGTTGAATGGTTATAAACTACTGCAAGACCATTTCAGGCTGGACATAAGGAAGAATTTCTTTACTGTCTGAGCCCCCAAGGTCTGGAATAGCCTGCCATCGGAGGTGGTTCAAACACCCACATTGAATGCCTTCAAGAGAAATTTGGATCCTATGACCCCAGCTGACATTCTGCCCCTTGGGCGGGGGCTGGACTTGAAGATCTTCTGAGGTTTCTTCCACCCCAGTGTCTATGAAATCTATTAAATGGGTCTCTGCTAATACCTTAGAAGTTCTCAGACCTCCTTGGCTAGGAATAGTAATATTTGGTAGCCTCACATAAAGGCTAAGCATTCCAAACCCATAGCAGTTGTGCTGATAAATACTTCGCAAATTGAACCACAATGGAACAGGATTTCTGTCAAGGTAAGAGATAGGCCTCAGGCTTACTGTTCTGTCCTGTCCTGTAACTGTGACACAACAAGCATCTGAACAACTGCTCACAAAGGACAACTGGGAGAAAGCAATCTCTCCTTTCTGTACTCTGAGTTGTATGGCAGCATGTCTTGGACCACCACCAGCAATAATCCAGAGATTAACTCCTTGCCTTTTGCCACATGACAACTGGCATGACTGAGATTCTTCACTTAAAGATTCCTGTATCAAAAGAGTTAAATGCTCATTTTTGCATATTACCCTAAAGAACTTGTCATCATTGGCAGTCCCTTGATTTGATGATGATCTCTGCCCTAGCTCACTGATGAGTCTTGAAGTGACTTAAGATCCAATCCTTGAGCCACAAATCTGTCTGCAGAATTTTCCACAGGGTAGGCTGCAGGCTGGGGTTCTTCTCCTTTTCCTTCCTTCACTCTCCTTTCTGCTTCGAGGGCAAGATGCTTTACCTCAAAACAGGCTGCCACTTGATTGAGGTTGCGGTGTCATTGAGGTTGGTTGGCAGCCAGCTCCTCTTAATTCTTAATCACAGCATCTGTTTTCTTGTGGTTTTCCTGCAATGTGTCCTTGTAGCTTTTTTTTCTAGCACAGTGAGATCTCAACTGTTACCAAGCTGGAAGTAGAGCACTTGTTTTGGGAGTCGAGAGTCGGGCATCTGCACACAATGTCCAGCCCAGTGAATTTAGCGCTTGAGGATTACTGACTCAATGCTGGTACCACTGGCTTCAGCAAGGATGCTGGTGTTTGTGTGGTGATCTTCCCATTTGATGTGGAGGATTTTCCAGAGGCATCATTGGTGATACCTTTCCAGGCTGTTGAGATGACAATGATAGTTCTCCCACACTTCACATCTGTAGAAGAGAGCAGGGATGATGACTATGTTGTAGGCCTGGATCGTGGTGTTTTTCTGGAGATAGTGATGAATAAAGAGATACCAAAGCAATTTCCTAAAGGAAGCACTTGCACACCAGATCCTGACCTCATTCTCCTCATCAATGTTCAATCACTGAGAGAGGTGGCTACGGAGGTAGGGGAAGTGCTACGCTACCTCTAGGGTCTCTCCCTCAATGGTTATTTGGGGGGGGGGGGTCACATTTGTGGCCTGGGACAGACTGATAGAGCACTTCAGTCTTCTCAGTGTTGAGAGAGAAGCCCAAAATTTAGTAGGCTTCTCCGAAGAGATCCAGTGCAGTCTGGAGGTTTTCCTTGGTGTACACAAGGATGATGCAACATATTCAGGGTCAAGGATGGTACTTTTGTCTTTGGGTGAAAACATCTCAGGTTGAAAAGCCCTCCATCTGTTTGGTATTCAGCATCAATTCCAGAAAGAAGGTAGTCCTTAATCAGAACCAAGATGAGGGTCAAAAAAATGGAGAACAGAGCTGGGGTGATGAGATCCTTGTTACACCCCTAATTTTGATGACAAGTAGATCTGTCTCCAGTCTGCTGCAAACAACAGGTGCAGTCATCAAGGTCCCGAGAAGCCTCAGGACCTGGATGTACTTTTCAGGACATCCAAATCTGGCCAGTACTTTCCATAAGGCTGTACAATTGATGGAATCAACAGCCTTAGTAAGGTCAATGAAGGCCATATACAGGTCCTATGTTGGTTCTGATGGACAACAAAGATCATGTCAGTTGCCCCACGGGATAGTCTGAAACCAGTGAGATTCCAGCAGGACCTCCTTAGCAAGAGGTAGAAGACTGTTTAGTAGAATGTGGGAGAGGATGAGGATCCCTGCTGTGGAAAGGAGAGCCATACCTCAGTAGTTCCCACACACAGACTTATCACCTTGGTGATTAGTCATGATGTTGGCATTCCTCAGATCCACAGGGGTCTCTTTGTTGCTCCAAATTTGGGGTATAAATTTATGGAGTTTCAGAGCCAGTTCTTCACTGTCAGCTTTGTAGGTTTTAGCAGGTAAGCCATCTGATCCAGTAGCCTCCAGGTTGTTCTTGGCTTCCTTAATGGCACAGCAGACTTCAAAGATGGGAGGGTTGGCGAGGGATCCCCTTTCAGAGTGTCAGGGGATGGACTTGGTGGTATCTGTCACAGTTGAGCCAAAGTTCAAGAGTGCCTCAAAGTGCTCTCTCCATCTAGCTTGGATAGATTTGTTGTCTTTGAGGAGCACTGAGCCATCCTGGGATTGCAGGGAAGTAGAACTGTGGGATATTGGCTGTAAATGGCTTTCATTGCCTGGATAAAGCTATGTATGTCATGTTTGTCAGCATAGAGCTGGAACTCCTTTGTTCTATCTTGCCACCACTGATGTTTTTTTTTTGATTTCCCAGATCCTCCTTTGAGCTTATGTATAGCACATAACTATTATCGTACTTCAGCAAAAGGGTACTTCCCATAGAAAAGATGCTCACTTGCATGCGCTAAGAATGCACCCTTGTTTATCTCTCTTGATCCCAAAATTCTCTTAAGCAGCAGCAATGTTATAATACTGTAACTTTTTACCCTAAAAGAAGCAGTTATAGGAATGGAAAATTATTTATCATTAACTGTCTTCCCTCCCTGCCCCCCCCTTTTCCCTTTAATCTGGTATTTCATAGCTGTAAATAAAAACTCCTGACTTGTGGCACACACAACTTACCTAGCTAATTCTCGCCTCTTTTTACATAAGTACTGGTTCAAAAAGGCAGTTTCCTGTCATCAGTTCCATTATCTTTTATCTCAGCTCCCATTTGGTCAGCATTATGTCCAGTAAAATTCCACAAGTTAAATATCAGTCTTCTCCTGCCAACTGCTTATTTTTCACTACTTCCAATGACATCTTTGAACCAGGATATTCAGTCACTGAAGAGTGGATTACAAAGCAAACTGATAGATCATAGTTCCTATATAATATGACCTCAACATTTTTTTCAGAGAAGTTTGTTTTCTTATTGTATATCTTATATTAAATATGCCATAACCTCATTTCCTATTTACTGATGAAAGCTGCTCAAGACAGTTGAAGTGTATAAGTAGGAATATCATGCAGGAGAAAACCAGGATCCCTGGTCATGACTACAAAGATTGCTTTGGCTTTTTCCTTACTGACGAGACAAATCCTGTAATTGTAAATGTGCTGATATCTGGCTATATATCTATCTATATAAGCGCAGACACACACACACGTGTGTGTGTATAGTTGCATTTATTTTATTGACCAAATAATTTTAAAATATAATCATCAGATATGCTAGATGCAGCTCTGTACCAAACTGCATTTGAGTCAGATTTTCCATTAGTCTCTGTAGAGTGGCTAAGTTGATTCTGCTGTCAAATGTCAAGAATGTACCCAGTTTACTGTAACATGTATTCTGTGTGCTCAAGGCCACAGAAAGTTTTAAACAGCCACAATGTAATCTAATGCTACAGATTGTCAGACAGGGTTGTAAATTCTGGATGTGAGCATGAGGTAAATTATCTGATGAAGTGCCACTGAAAATGAGGTGGTATCAGTAACCATTTATTTTCCCAGAAATATAACTGGCCTTGAAAAGAAGATAAACTCAAAAGCCAAGCTGTCCAAAGAAAAGTCAATGCATAGCAAGGAGATGTGTAATTCTGCCACATTTATCTATAAATGTATGGTTTTTAACAGCAAGAAAGCAAACCAAGATTGCATCTGTGAATGAGTTTAATTTAAATGGCTGTCCCATTATATCTAACAGGTGGGAGATCTTCATGAGGCTCCTTGAGGGCACTGGAAAACTCTCTATGGGTGAGGCTGCAAGATCAAGGCTAAAATATGCTGGCAATAGTAAACCCTGATAAGGATCAAAACTGCCATTTTGAAATCCAGCTTTTCCTATTGTAAAGTTTGTCTTGGTAGTCGAACTGAATTTCAAGTATGTGATCAGTGCTTTTGCTAGATTAGGGCAAAGCTAGGATCAAAAAGGCTACACACTGAATGCAGCCATCTTAAAAAGAGGGTATTCTCCCATTGTCTCATAAATATCAAATAGCCACAGCAGATAAGACTGCTTTGTTTGTTTACTTGCTTGTTTCCCCCTTTACTGATACGTGTTTCCCTTCTCTTCTAGTACAAGGATGCATTTATGAAGGCAAACCCTGGCTACAAGTGGTGTCCCGCAACAAATAAGCCTGTGAAAACCCAGTCATCCGCTGTTACAAACAGGAAGAAACTGTGGGCTTTCCCATCAGACTCTGTGAAAGATTTACCAAGCCCAAAAAAAGTGGCAAAGACTGAAGATATGCCTCAGCTTAATTTTGGAATAGCAGGTAAGCTTGGATTCCCCACTAGTGTTATCACAGTCACCACTGATGATGTTACCTTGATAGACAGAATACCTCTTCGTTCCAACTTCTGTCATGATTCAGTCCTCTGTCTTGTCTCAAATCAGGAAAGTTGGACATATATGCTTAAGAGCTGTTTAAACCTGTATATTGTTTTGAATGAGGATAAATTGAAGCACTTAAAAGTGCTATCCAAAATCCTGGCCTCTAAGAACTTCTGAAATATAATAACTTGTCACGGATTCCAATGTTATGGTTTATGCCCCTTTTTAATTAAAGGTAGATCTTTCCACTCTTCAGAAAACGAGAGGAAAAAACGCATGCCATTCTTTCTTTCAAATTCATGGAGCACTGTGTTAAGTTTAGCAGTTGACTGCCAACAGGAGTAATGTGCTGGTAGCTACTAAAGAAAAGTTGGAGGTGTTAATGAGCAATGTTCCTGTGGATGAAAGTATTTGATGAAGCACGCTGTCTCTGACATTAAAGATCCAGTAGAAGAAAATTGATTTTAAAACTAATAAAATTAAATCTGTTCTCTTTTTCTTAACCTAGAAAAGGCATGTTTGAGTAAATATGGTAAATCAGACCTACACCAGCAATAAGATGAGGTTTTTCCCCTTATTTGCATACAGGGAAATGTCATTAAATACATTGTCTATCATTAAACTGCTGCCAAAAGCACCATGTGATCAGTAATAGAAACCAACAAAGAAGATGATTTAAATGCAGCCACCACTGGGCATGACCATTAAAACACATGGCCCAAGTTGGACAAACGTATTAATAGGAATCTTTTTTTAAGAGACTTTTTTATGTTCCAATCCAAACCAGCCAAATCAATTCCAAATACTTGAGTTAGTCAAGAACCATAAGTGGCCCTACTACTGGCAACATCCTCCACCCCACCTGGGGCTTCAGATGCTTCCAAATCCTTTGGCAGGCATCCTACATGCAGGCCCAAGCCCAGTGGCTTGGGGTTTGGATGCCGCCAAGTTTCACTTGCCCTCAGAACCAGTGAACCACGAGTCTTTTGGCTTTGGACTAGTATCGTGCATAGTTCATACTATACATAAGTAGGTGCCAAAAGTGCTACTTAAAAGTGTGTTTATACCTGTGCTAAAACTTGCAGCAGGTTCAAAAAGAGTGAAATGCATCAATTCTGGATTAACTTAAGTAATGTGCCTGTATGCAAAATACTCCAGGTGTGTTTATTTCAAAGTCAGCGTTTTCAAATTTGCCCTTCACTTCCATGTGCTCAGGGAGAGCAGGGCATGACAGTAAGGATGGTGGGGAAGAGGCTGCAGGGGGAGGAAGCTGGGGGGCAGAGGACAAGGGGGCAACCTGACCTGCCAGATTTATTTTCCCAGCTGTAGCAGTGGGAAGGGGACAAAGTCAGACCTCCAATAATTGGATTGAAACCTCCAATAATTAGATTATATATCTGGAGAATTATAACAAATTTATAAATATTCCATATATAGAATCTAATTATTGGGGTGTTGTCTTACATTCAACTAAATACTATAGCGATGGGCCGATTTATCCTCTGTTCTCACGAGTGACAGCGATGACTAAGTGTTACCAGAACATAGAAGAACATGACCTTAGTAAACATGGGCATTAATGTACTTGAATGTCAGCAGCTTCTGAGCCTAAAACTGGTAGAAACTAGATGTTATTTAGAAGGGGATAAAAATAATCTTCCTTTTTTCCTTTCTAAAAAATAGTTAGACTCTCTGTGTTATCAAATTTGAAACTTTTCAGGTGTTGTGGTTGGGTTGTGCTAAATGTGTGACAGGTGGATAGTATTTTCTGCCCTGGAGAACTTTCAGACAAAATTGTAGGGAAAATTTTGCTTATGGAACAGGTTTGAAAGGATAAAAAAAATCTCTTTTTTTGCCCATTCCAGCTCTATGAACTTTCCTGTAATGAAATGACTTCTTGAAGGAACTGTGAACTATAATTCAATAGGAATCTCTACACATTACATACTTTTGTGATGTCTGTTGTATGGGAACCTGGTACTAGAGATTGTCATAATCTTCATTCTGTTTGGCTTCTACCATCAGAAGAATGTTGAACTTTATGGCCTTTTAAATGTGTCTTAAAAAGACCTGATGAGCAGTTAGCAGGAATTGGTTGCACCTACCCTAACATGCTTTAGTTAAACAGAACATGATATACCCCCTCTAAAAATAGACATAACAATTTGAAGAGTGGGTAGTCAGTCAATCTTTGTAGAAGTAGTGGAGGAACCAGACACTAGATTTCTGGTAGGATCTGATAAGTATAAAGAGATCTACCACCTATGCCAAGGCAAACAGACTTCTTCAAGCAGAAGATTACAGCTTATGAGCCCTGGCCCTGACATCCACATAACTATGCACTTGCTTAGCTGTATTCATATCATTAGATTTTTTTTAAACACAAAAAATGTTAAGGATGTGCATAATTTAAGTAAATGAAGCAAATACTTCCAGAACAACAGTTTGATTAGTAAGATCTAAGTTGTATATTAATGTAGATCTCCTGAATCCCATCCCAATGTCTTTAGCTACAAGACTATCCTTCTTCCTTAATGAAGAAAATGTTTATGTTCCTGGGAATTCTCTGCTATAGTCTGGTAGGATTTCAGGTCCTGTTCTTGCCCAGATGCACCCACTAATGATAAATAGATGGTTCATCAGTACAAAGTTAGCTTGCAAAAGTATGACTACCTCATGTATGACTAGTTCATAATGGGAGTTAACATCACTGAATGATGAATCTTTAGTTTACTGTTTGGAGAACTATTATGTCTGCTCTGTGCCAGTTGCTGGTAAATGTACCTCTGAATTTCTTTCTTCTGCAGAACAAAATGTATCCCATTCTCTTTATGTTATATCCAAAATAACTAGCTTTAACATGTGCACTGACTGTTGCCAAGGAACCAGAAGTAGCTGAATAAGTATAGGAAGCAGTGAAAAAGTATAGAGTATCTGAAACCATTGATACTGTCTTAAATGACATGCATCATGAAGTAATTCCTTGCCTAGAATTAGGAAAAATGTACCATGTCAAGATCATCCCACACAGCAATTTCACTTGACGTTACTTGTAAAAGGCTTTTTCCCCTTTGCTTTAATGTGCAATAATATTAAGAAAACTGGGATGTAGGGCAAAATTCTTCACAAATAGTCCTCCTGGAATTAGCAGAAGAATGGATATGTGTAAGGATTTCTTTGGGTGATATCTCTTATTGGACCAACTGCATAGTTGGGACAGAGTTAGATAAGCTTTCAAGTGCCAAGACATTCTTCAGCTCTATAATGATCACACACACACATGCACGCGCGCGCGCGCACACACACTTTTTTTTTTTTAAAAGAAGGGTGTGCTGTCTGTAAGGTAAGCTTCCCCTTTTCATCCTATGCTAGCCATTGTTGGATATAGAATGCCCAGTACAGTGCTGGGATTTTCTATACGGTGTCACAAGCACCGTTTCACCTCAACTCCCAATATGTATATTGGAATCAAGTGTGTTTTTACAAGATGTCTTGGGTGTGCTGTGTTAGCAGACATAAGGCAAAATGGGTATTCTGTACAGTGGATCTCTCTTGTACGGTTTCCCCATCCAACAAAACATTTTGAAGTTCAAAATCTTGTCCATTCTCTAAGATGAGATCAGTACCTTTTTGAAGCTTTGTAAAAAGCCAGAGAGATGAACAGGAAGGCAGAAATGGCCTCCCACCCCTAATCACCACTGAATAGCCAGTTGCTTGGTGCTAGGGTCACTCATCTGGAATATGGGTATTAATTAGTTTGGGTTAATTGTCTCTAGTTGGATCTGTTCCATTTTGGTAAATAATTAAATAATCATTAGAGCATGGCTTGAACTGCTTCTTTTGTGTTCTGTGCAAGTACTATAACCATTGGCTCATAGAGTCCGTCTCTTTGGTCCAGAGTATATTTAACTATTTATACAAAGTGGAACATCTCCAGCAGGAGCGAATGAGACGGGTAGGCAGAGAGTGACTGTATATGTCAGTGGTTAAAGCACAAGTGACTGAAGCAAATAGCAGGAGTATGTGAGATCAGAGATTTATATACCTTGTCAGAATCAGCCAGAGGAGGGATTTTTTGCATTCCTTGTGCATACGCAGGTGCGCACACTCTCACTTACACGCTTGTGCTCGCTCACTCGCGCACTGTCTCTCTCTCTCGATTAGAAATTCCAACCTGAACCCAATGAAGTTTTACTGCGAGTGGCACATTCCTGCAACCCTTCCTCCCCCAACCCACCACGGTTTTGATGAATCAGCATTTTCCAGCTGGAAAAAAATTGCTTAGTTTAAAAATTCCTAGCTACCCCTCTTATAGTCCCAGAGTAGTAAAAGTCATCACTCCCAAACGGTGAGCCCGTTGTTAGTTTTGGCAATAATAAAAGCTTCAGTGAAGGCCACAAATCAGCTTCCATTATAGTATTAATATTTAATATGTTTTTGTGAATCAGGCTCTTAATGAGAAAAGGGAATACCTCATTATAGGGAAATACCTGTAAACAGTTTTAAAATTATATTTATACCATTACATTATTCATATCTGTACGTTCTTAATGCCATAAGTAACACATTGCACACAAGCTGATGCAAATTTTAAGGCAATGTGTTCAAATATACATTTTAGTTTTTAATATCTTACATTTGCAGTTTGAAAGCCTGATAGGAGGATTTTTCTCTTCATAAAGAGCAGACATCCAACCTCCAGCCCTCCTCTACAGCTGCAGCACAAGTATTCTTTAGCTCCTTAAGCACTAAATTAAACTCTCACTTTCCACTAAACTGTCATTTTGTTTCCTCCTCTTGATTTTTATTTTTAAATAGATGGTTTAAGCATCTGTTGAATGCTTACTGAAAAAACTCCTGAGACACATCCTACAATTAAAGGGGGTGCGGGGAACGAAGACCATCTTTATAGTGGGGAAAAAAACCCATGGAAGTAGAAGAAGGGTTTGGAATGGGTTGTTATGTGCATCATCCTGTTGTACGGTGAGGTATGCCATCCTTTTACCTCCAGATTGACCCCTTTCCTTTTGCTGTGAGAAGCTTCCACTGGGACAAGAGCTTCTTCCTGATCAGTGCCTGTTAATTGATCTTCTGGCAAAATGTCCTTTCCAAGATGGATGGCCTATGCAGCCTAGGCCTAAGAGGGCAGTGCTTTAGCTCAGTAGTGTGCCTGGAACCTCTCCTTACATCTGCCAGCCTTTCTGTCTCAGAATATTTTCGTTCTGCTTGTGAGCAAGTTGCTGTCTGAGGAAGTAACCAAGACATTGTATCTTTGACAAAGCTTATTTTTGTCTGTCCTAGTAATAATGTGACTTTGCACTCTTATTTTGCCTCTCCCCCCTCGTTTTTTCCTGAAAAATGAAGTGGGAAATTCTGAATATGCTTTTAGTACAGTTTGCTGTGAGAGGGCAGTACTGTCATTCTAAAACATCAGCGGACCCAGACTCAGCTGCTGTCAGGCAGACTCAGTGTATCCCTCTTCAGTCTCATCAGACAGCTTTGCCCTGTTTCTTCAACTATATCATCAGTATAAAGATGAAAAGTGATAATCCTATGAGAGTAACTGTTTAATAGAGACAGGAAGGATAGATTAGTGATTCAAGCACTGAACTAGAACTTTGGAGGCCAGGGCTTTGTTCCCAGCTCTTCCATATACTTCATGTCTAACCTTGCCAAAGCTGTGTAATCTCTTTGTGCCTCCACATATTTTGTTGTTGGGGTGGTTTTTTGGGTTTTTTTTCCTTTGTTTGTTTGTTTTTTGGGTTTTTTGTGGAAATTTTTTCCTATTCCAGATCAAATTAGCCAAATGAGTTCCGAAGCCTCTCAATTGAGCAAAACTCAGTCATTCACACACCGTATGTGGCACTACTACTGGCAAGTATCCTCCACCCCAGACTTTTCAGCCTTCAGATACTTGGCTTCAGATACTCCCAAATCCACTGGCAGGCATCCTACCTCTGGTCTTGGGGTTTGGATGCCTCTGAGTGTCACTTTCCCTTAGCCAATGGCCACAGGAGCAAACTACGAAGAAGTCCGTAGTTTCGATCAAGTAAGCATGTAGCCAAGATCCTCCCACTGGAAGCTGGCTGCTGGGAAGCTAATTACAAGACTTGTAGGGTGTCTTGTCTGCAATGCATTGGACAGGGGTGCACCCTCCACTGCACGATGCCATTAAATCCATCTAAGTGCTCCCCCACAGTGCTGCTGGCCTCGCCTTCCCCATTCTGTCCACTCCATTGCCACTGTCTCTGGGGGGAGGGGGAAGCAAGGCACAGCTGGCTTTGCCTCCCCCCTCCTCTGTCCCATGTCCCCACCATTATGACAGTGCTCCACCACACTGCCACCTCCTGTTGAATGCTTATTTGCACTCTATTTGGCTGTTTCAGTCAGCCAATCAGAGTGCGAATAAAGCATTATGGACAGACAGACAGGCAGACAGATAGATTAAGGATTTTATAATATTAGAATTATTCTTCAGTTTTCATCCAAATAAGGCTTATTTGCATATTAGACACCAGAAAATATGCAAAGACGATCTCTTCTTCTTTACTTTATATTGCTCACCATAACTCGCGAGTGAGTGAGCAAGAACCGTATCACACATCTCCGCAGTGCCAGCACTAGGAGGGGAAGAAAGGAAGGGGCTCCTTCCCCTCCTGGAGCCCAGCTTCCATGGAAGGGTACCCCTAATCCTCCTCTTGCCCAAGGCCCCAAAAAATATGAATCCACCTCTGAATTAAGTTACCATAGTTTGGCTTTCACTTACCTCAGGGGAAGTAAAAGCCAGTTGCTACAGGATTTGTCTTTGCCCCCTTTAGCCATGGGCTCTCTGCTCATTGTACTGTTTGTATCATCAAGGAAAAATACTTCATTTCACCTGTGCTTTCTCTGGCTTGTGAGTTCTTCAGACCAGTCATTGCCTTACTGTGTATATCACCAAGTGTAATCTGGTCCCAGCCTGGATTGTAGCTCCAGGCACCACGTTATTATCAATTAATTAGTAATAGTGAATAATCATGTGTTTGATATGCCCAAAAGAGGGCACTCTCTAAGCATATAGCGTCACTTTTCATTGCTCTCTCTACTTTTTGTTGTTAAAACTCCTGAAAACAAGAAGGCTCAAGGGAGGGAAATGTCAACATTTATTTTTTAGAATTACTTTATCCAAATGTAGTACCTTGGCAGGGTAACGTTTGGGCAAGATGCCCATTCAACTCCTGTCCTGTATCACTGCTTAATTCTTCAGAGTTGTCAGCTTAGCACTCTTCAGCACTGAATGTAGCTCAAGTTTTAACAATAAATCACTAGAAAAATTTCTTCACAGATGCTTAGGCAGAGTTACCTCTTTGGTTGAAAGGAAGCTTAATCTTTGATATGGTCCCTTCTCTTTATTTGTTTTGTAACTGGAAGTAGGTCACTCCCCGACTCTGAAGCTTTTGTCTGTTCACATATAACCGTTGGCCATATTAGAAAGAATATTTCCTTTGTGTGTGTTTGTGAGATTGTTCTAGTTGCCATTTTAAAAATATTCATCTCTGTAATACATGAAATCTATGACAGTAGAATCATAAATCCACACGATGGGGTGTTAAGCACACAAATCCATTTAAGTCCCCTGAGACAGCTCTGGGAGTCTATTCCAGTGGGTATGGAAAATAGTTATTTGTGATTTTCTTCGACTAGCTTTATGGCATCTTTCTAGGAGTATCTGTGACAAGCAGCCTTTTGTAGAGGTTTGCATTGCTGGCAAACTGTTCTTTCAGCATGTGAATGAATTGCCTTAATACTTGGTTTTACTTTTTAACAGATCCGACACAAATGGGAGGCCTAAGTATGCTGCTGTTAGCAGGGGAGCATGCCCTGACTGCACAAGAGGTAAGTAAATCTTTCTCCTTCCCTTCTGCTACCCCCTGAATTGGAAGGCGCCCTGAAAAGGAATAATAGTCAAGATTGGATGGTGCCATGTGTGAGCATGGTGACTTGACACTCCCCCTCAAACTAGCGGGAAGATAGGCTAGCTCTCATTTTGATGTCTGTTCAGTAATTGTGCCAGTGTAATGCTATTGACTGACTTCCGTGCTGAGGGATCCATGTGGCCCCTAACTCCACCTGTTGGGATATTCCTGTTGTCACAGATAGGAGTACGGGAACATAACAATTCTAGTAAAATGTTTTGCAGGCTCCTGATTAAGAGTTGCCTGTACCTGTATATTTGTACAGCACCTTGCACCATAGAGCAGTTGGCTCAACCGAGGCAGTATAACTATTGGATAATATATTTTGGTTATAGGTGAATTCTAATCTTGAAAAGGTTGCTAGTGCTAAGAAACATTCAAGATACTCTAGGTGATTCCTGTTATATTTGGCTTTGTGCTTATTGTACTGCCAGTTCAAAAGGCTTGGTAGTTCAGTTGGTATAATGTAAACATTTTGCATTTACATAGAAAACAAGTAAATCATAGAATGTGGGGGGTTTTTCTCCATAATCCCAGCAATGGAGATGCATATAGGGTTTCTGTAGTTTGGTGGTTACTTACAGTATATTTTTGCCCTCAGTTTGAAATTCCTGCATTAGGTGGGTCAAATGGACTCACATTCAATAGGTATATAAAATAGGTAGTTGCTGGATCAGAAGAGGGAGTTGCAAGCAGCTTACAGGTAATAGCACTTTTCAGCGGATGGTATTACTTACTTTTATACTATGATTCCTTCAGAAGGTCTACTGTTAAATTTGACAGCCAGAAGAACAGTCAGGGAAGCTGGTGCACACCTCTCACTTGAGAATCCATAGGAGTTGTGTGCTTACCTGTCTTTTTGGACCTTGTAAAAAATCTTCCACTGATGTCTTTGATTGTACAAAATCAGGCTTTGCACCTTTATTCTGGTTTATCCCATTATGATTCGGTCTCTGTGACAACTGGATTTAAGGCAAGCCTTGGGTATTGTGGGACCATGAGCACAATGGGCTCGTTCAGATGTGCAGGGAGCCCGCTGCAACATGCTGGAAATGCAGCGCATCATAGCAGATTTGATTAATTGAGTCTGCTGGAGCAGGGAAATTAATGTGCTCCAGCAGCCTTCTGTGTCATGTGTATTAGCGTCCGTGTGCATCCCCACACTGAAAAACTGGCAGCAGGACACTGAAATAAAACATTCCTGATGAGCTTTAGTTCAAAGTTTCCTGCTGCCATTTTTTCAGTGCGGGGACTCTGATGCACATGATGCGTGGGCACTTTTAATTAAAACACCTGGCACTGCATCCCAAAGCACATGTAAATATGCCCTGTGTGTTTTTACCCTGTCAGACCTCAGTTGTCGTATCACATGTTTGGTCTTAGTGTAGGTACGAACTCTGTTGCCTTTAACCAACAGGACCTCTATTCTTTTGTACCATTAGCAGAAGGGTTAAATATGATTATCCTTTAGATAATCATCTGTCAAAAACAAATGTTATATTCAAACACAGAGGAAAAAATGCAGATCTGAAGTGTTAAAGACTGGCAGGTTGAGGGTAAATTATTTAAGAGCTAGTGTTAAGGGAGCACATTCAGAGATGCACCAAGGTGCTTGTGTTGCCTCATTGCTGAGATTCAGCTTGAGTGGGTAGGGTATGCTTCTTGGCCAGGGTTCTTGGGTATGTTATAGCAGCAGTGTACATAAATCCAAAATCTCTTCCTGAGCCTACCCCACCTGTGAAAGGAGGACTATATATATCTGTTTGTGACCATTCGTATTTATAACACGCAGCATAGCCACGATCTACTCTCACCAGCATGCACACACTGCCTTCTCCTGGCCTGGCACCTAGCAACCTCCAGACAGCCAGTTTATTTGGGCAGTTGCCTTTTATAAACTCTTTTACATGTTAGTATTTACACTCAGATTCTGGCACAAGCAGCTCAACTCCACTTCTGCAGTAGAGTCCAAAACCAAACTAAAGGAAGATCCCTTATCCCTGGTCTTGTTACATTTTATTTCCCAAGAAATATCTCAGAAACCCTTCCCAAATTCCTCAGGCTAGATCCAGCCATGCTTTGTCATCAGGCTGTTTAGCAGAAGTATGAAATACCTGCCCAACGTAAGAAGGGTACTTTGTACCAAACGCTCATTAAACATCTCTGGCACCTAAATGGTTGATCCAATAAAAGATACCACCAAAAAAAAACCCCCTTTCTTTGATCAAAGTAAGGCAGGTTCTGGCAACAGGAGGAAGCCCAAATTATGAGATGGTCTTTAGGGGGTTAGAGACCTTGCTATTTGTTAAAATATGAATTATTTATTAAATCTACATTAAAGGAGGGGCGCAGTAGTCTGAGTATTAAGAACATCTATTTCTTGAAGATTATAAAGAAATTCCATCTTTCTGATGGATCATAGGTAATCCTCAGTAACTGTATATAACATACATTAACTTAAGGCTACGTTAAGTGAACAGTGAGGAACCTTTTTAAAATAAAGTGTTGCATTGAATTGCAAAAACTACAAATGGTGAAAATATGAATATGCATTAATAGGAGAGAAAAAGGAATCAACAATGGTATTTGCAAACCAGCTCGGCTGTTCACCTACTCTCCCTCTGTTCGTTACATTTCCTGTTGTGTTCTGTGCTCATAATTTTTCAATATCCTGTACTATTGTTTTCCATTAATAGAGTTCAATGTTTACATTAGCACAGCTTCCAACGTAACAGTGCATTACAATATAATAGGTATGTGGGCAGGAAAAATGAAAGACTTGAGCGACTGGATTTTTAACAAGAAAATTACTTGAACAGTGAACTTATTCTAGATTTACCCATAGGTTATATCAGTTGCAGAAATGCTTGTGCAGATTTAACCTCTTTCACCTTCTAAAACAAAGTAAAATGAATTAATCAACCTTGCAGTTGTATTTTTAGGAGAGCTGGGTCAGAGCCTGCTTCAGTCCTGAACTGCTTTGTCAAAAGAGCAGCATATGAAGACAAAATAAAATGGTGAAAACTGAATTAGGAAATCTTTAGCATAGTGTGTGGACTTGCCCCATCTGAATCTCACTTCCCGTAGTTTGTTCTTTTATCTTGTTAGTAACGTTTTTTACCAGACTAAGAGCAACACCTAGTGGCTTCTGTGAGCTAATGCAGAAAATACCCTCAGAACAGTAGCACTGAACAATTGCTTTTGTTCTATATTCCCTCTGCTGTTCTGTCTGGGTGTTTTATCATACTAAAATCTTTTAGTGGCATTGTGTGTAAATATGGTGTCAGGCACTGGAGTTTCTTTTCTCCTTTACTTTTTTGATAATTCATTAGGAAAAGCAAGAATATGGCAAAGTTATTCTCATGCTTGCTTTCTTTCTTTTCTGCTTGGGAAGGAAGTGAATCTCCCATGCTCTCCTGAGTTTGGATAAAGAGCCACATGATTTGAGTTGCGAATTTGAAGTGATTTGTGTTAGCTGAGGGCAGTTCAGTACCAACTTGCAGTGGGCAAAAGAGGAGAATCATACAAAAGTGGAAGATTTTTTAATATTAGCATTAGTGATCACCCTCATAATTTTAGGCTCTGACCCTGCAAGGACTTAAAAATCTGCTAGACCTTAATACTATATTGAGAAGAGCTAATTAAATACTTAAGTTTCTGCAAGGCTTTGATTCTAACTTCTTATCTTTACAACTGAACTTTAAAGGGCTCATGCTTGGCAAATCTCTTGGTGATTTGCATTTTCTGTTCAATATTTTTTCCTAACCAGCCATTCTAAAATTAAGGAGTAAAGAAAGGAAGAAAGAAAAAAATCCTTATTTGGTGCATGAAGTAAACACTCCAACATGGGAGACTCCATATTAACAACAACTTAATTTATTTTAATTGATTTTAGTTATCCTTAACACACACTATCTCTCTAGGAGGGTAATATGCAGACAAGGTTCTTAGGGTATATCCAGTATTTTTTTATTAGACCAATTCATATAGTTGGAAAAATTCTTCTTAGCAAGCTTTGGGCACAAGCACCCTTTGTCAAGCTGAGGGTAATAAAGCACTGGAACACGGTACCCAAAGAGGATGTGGGATCTCCATCCTTCCTGGTTTTTAAGACCAGGCTAGACAGAGGCATGACTGGGATGATCTAGATGGGGATGGTCCTGCTTTGAGCAGGGGACTGGACTAGATAACCTCCTGAGGTCATTTTCTATTATTCTAAGCCTGATAGGTGATTATTGTTTCAAACTTAAAATCTACAGTCTCTGTCCTTCTACTATTATCTTTCATATTTTTGTACAGTAACTCAACCAGCTTCTGTTTAAGGGGGTATGTGAAAGGGAGCCTCCTTTGCTTTGTGTATTGTCCCAGGAGTTGAGCATTTTCATGGCCCTGGCACAGGATGGGGCTAGCCATTCTAATCCTTCCAGGAGAGGAGTGATGAAAGGCATTTTGGAGCTGGGACTTCCTCCGCATTTAAGGACACGGTTATCAGCAGAATTATGAGGTGCACAGTACCTCTTACTGGAACTTTCACCCTGTCCCCTTCAAGCAGTGTCTGGAAACCACCAGCACTCTGCAGGCTCTCGCTTTATAAAGAGTTTTCACTAACTGACACAAGTGACTAAGGTTCCTGCTGCCAATCAGTCTTTCATACATGTAGTAGGTAAGGGGCCTGAAATTGAGGACCTTTTTACTCTTGCCAAACTCCCCCTAAAGTTAACCAGCTCAGGAAAAAGGCAGGTTCTGTGAACCACAGTTGTGTCTTCCTTAGTTATTACAATCAAGTTTCAATTGTTTACTTTACTCTGTAGGAGACTTGTAAGAGGGCTATGTGCTATTTTGCAAATATAATGGAAGTGCTGGTAATATACAGTCTTTATCCATTCCATGTGATTTTGTTCTGGGAAAAATAGTCTATCAGTGACCATAAGAGTCAATGAGGCACTGGAGGTAGTCAGCAGCATGATAATGACATTGTCCTGAGTAGCAAATCCTATTCCTGGTTATTCTAATGGATTCCTCTGCTTTAAAAGCAGCAGATGCAGTTGCAAGCTCAATCTTGCATTCCTTTGCAAACAAATGTTCTGCCCCTACTTCAAAGTTAGAAGTGGCCAATACAGCTCCAGAACAGAAGCCTCTAGCCCTTAAGCTGGTGACCAGTTGCAGCTGTCACACATTTAAAATAGTTATAGATCAGTAAAAACAGCTGTCCCCTGTGCCTTCAAAAATATGGTCCTAAGAAAGGGTGTTTGGAACCACCTGTGTTTTGGCATGCAACACTTTTTAGTCATTGCCACTGGCAAGTGAACATTGGTAAATCATTTAATGTGAATACCCAGTAAGTTTGAAAGTTTTATATAGAAAATATTTGCATGGAAATATTTTAAAGGCTTTGTAATGTACACAGTTGCTTTGGATATTTAAATATTTTGCAGGGAAGTATGCTCCACAGCTATTATTTCTCATTTTGTTTGGTATGCCTGCAGTTACACAAAATTGTCTTTCCTTTTAACTAGCAGTTGATCAGCTTTACTTAACTCCATATCCCTAATTATACCATGCATCAGCAATGCCACACACTTTTGTTAAGCTTTTTATATACATATAAATCTGAACCTACAGTTAAAACTCTTCACTTCCTAAGCAATTGATATTTTGTAACTATATTTCATACCTAATGTGCCTTAAATGAAGATGTTTTAATAATAAAAATTAAGCTAATAAAAATAGCACAAACAGAAAAAAGCTGTTCTGCGAGTCAGGGAAAATTGATTGCATATGCATTTCTTGGTAGTTGAGTTTCAAAAGATTTTTTAATGGTATGCTCTCTTCAGCACTTCTCAAAATCCCACACCGTGTCTTTATGCACATTATTGGAGCAGTTGAAGACATCTGGCAATGTTAGCTACTCATTTTCTTTCTTTTAAAAACTTTGGGTTTTTTACATTGTAAGTCAGGTGTGTCAAAGTCACCCCAGGGTCTCCCTCCAGGCTGGAACCAACAACAGCTGTAGTGGATCTGTGTCTGAGGCCAGTGACACGGGTCAGGAGTTGAGCTGTGGTGCTGGGGGTGACAGGCAGTGGTGCTGGAGTTGGAGGAGCAGGCAGCAGCCGTGGTGGGAGATCAGGCTGTGGTGTGCAGGGTGCGGAAGGAAACGGGAGGGAGTGCAGGTGAGGCAGCAGACAGTGGTATAGGTGGGGAACGGGTACAGATTGGTACAGATCCAAGGGTGGGTGGTAGTGGAGAAAGCTAGGCTGGTATCTGCGCAGCCCTGGCTCACCCCCTGCATCTGATGGCCATGCCCACTGCGGTCCAGGTTCCCTGAATTCTGCAGCAGTGAGTATGGCCCCCAACTTCCAGTAGCCCCCAAGACTACTGGAAGACCAGGTGGAATAGATCCACAGGCCAGATCCAGCCTGGGTGCTATATGTTTGGCAACACATTGCCATATGTTACAAGTAAAATAAACTCTTGTCATATAACATATTTAACTGTTCTTTTCTGAAACGATAACTACTCTAATAGACAAAATACTCTGAAGTTAAAGCATATAAAGGGGAGATGTATCCTGTGCAGGTGCATGTGGCACAGGTCATAGGTATATTTATGCATTTGTATATTTAATCACTGGGTTTCCATTGGGTTTTAAAAACCTTTTTGTGAGGTACAAAACTAAAATCAAACTATGTATTTTGGGGATAAATGCTTTTCTGATATTTGACAGGCATCAGAAGGAATATTAAAAAACTGATAACACGTTTAATTTCATTCTGCATATCCAGGATTAGGAAACATTAGATTGTTCATCGCTAGCTGAACTCTGTCTGGCTGGTGTTGCATTGCTCATTAGCAGGCGTGGCTCCTGGCCTTGTAGACACCTCCTTGATGTTCTGTTCCTTCTCTTTGTCCCAGGTGTCCTCAAGTACTTGCCAGTCTGATGCATCTAACTCTACAGAAGCATGTCGGAAGTCGCCATTGTTTCAGTTTGCAGAGGTGAGTTTCCTAGTGATAGAATTGATTTTTTAAAGAAATCTAAATCTGTAATTGAAGGAGTTCTGGAGTTGAAAGTATCTGAGTAAAGGCCACACTTTTTGTTTTGCTTTACTCCTGATGTTGTCTGTAGATAATGGACTGTGACCAACTGAACGTGCTGACTAGAACCGCAGAAAAGAGTGAAGTCATGCAATAGAGATACTAAGTAGCATAGTGGGTTTAAAGAAGCATTCAGTTAGAGAGAGTACAGGAAAAGCGTTAGCAGAAAAGACTTGATACTCACAGGTTATGGCATTTTGAAGTGGGATTGCATAGCATAGGTTTAAAACAAAACTGTTTAGTTAAATCACAGGTGCTTAACTTCTGGCCTGTGGTCCACATCTGGCCTGCGGAGCTATGGCATCTAGCCCATGGGTATACCCACAGGTTGGGAAGTTTGGTGGCAGGTGAATAGTGTCAATTAATACTGCATCTCTCCCCCACTGCCAAATTCCCAAGGCTCCGCACGGGAGATTGAAGCTGTGCCATGTCTCCTTTCCCCACACAGCTTGATCAGGGCCCAGCTGCACCTTCTTCCCTCTGCATGGCTGGGTTGGGGCCAAGGCATGCCCCTTCTCCCTGTGGCGTTGGGCCATGCCTCCTTTCCCCATGAAAGTAGATCAGGGCTGGGCCACATCCCCTTTCCCTACACAGCTGGATTGGGGCCAGGCCATGCCTCCCCCATCCTCTCACAGGCCTGGTTTGGGGCTGAGGCATGCCCCCTTCCACCACACAGCTTGATCAGGCCCAGGTTGTCCCTGCCCATTTCTGTATGGCTGGATGGGGCCTTCCATGCCCACCCCAGGCACCAGATTGGGACTGCTGACTGGATCCAGCCCTGGAATGGACTGGGTACTGCCCATCTGGTCCACCAAGCAAAATGATTGAACACCACTGAGTTAAATTATGGCCGTTATTATGTTCAACTCGATCAAAAGTTATTGTTAGTCAGTTGTGGGAGTTCTAAAAATCTTCCTGTATTTCCTGGTCGTATAACACATTAAAATATGTGGCCCAGTCCTGCATCTTGGGGTATGGACATACGAGCAAGTTACCCTAGGTTAAAAAGGAATGGGGTTTTACTGCATGTCAGTCCTGCTGCAGTACCCACCCAAGTCTGTAAGTGGAAGGTAAACCTCACTTTATATTACCCCTCCTTTGTTAAGGGGTAAGTTGTCACCATTTAGTTTCCAGTTATTGTGAAGTGAGTGGACAGACAGGCAGTTAGCATGGAGCAGCTGTTACAGTAAAGCCCCACTTTTTCCCAGTGATCAATTACTTGTCCATTCATACCTTAGGTCAGGGCTGTACAACTGGTGTCCTGTGGACAAGTAGACCATGAGGGGTTAAATTGCAGCCCTGTGCCCCCGCCAGCCACCAGTATGCGATGACTACAGCAGCAGCTGGAGTTTTGGGCTTTTCTTCTCTCCTCTGACTGCTCTTTCCTGCCCCTGCTCCAGGGGACAGGGTATTGCACCAGCACAGGGAGCTGAGGGTGAGCCTGGGGCGAGCAGTACAGGTGAGGGGTGAAGGAAGTTTGAGGGGCATAGGTGAATGGTACAGCAGAGGGTGCCCACATGAGCATGCAGTGCAGTGGTGGAGGGAGAGTTGCAGGCACTTGATAACGGAGCCTCAGGCATGCAGGGCAGCGGTGAAGTGGGGATAGCCATTTGATGTGCAGCCCAGGGGGGCCATGGCTTGCCCTGATGCAGTCTATGGGATATGCAGCCTCTGACTGCTTGGAAGTTGGACAGCCCTGCCCTGAGTAACAAGTGGTTCCATGTGAGTTTTGCAAGTTTTTGTGCAGGTCTTCAGAGGATTTGGTCCTGACTTACCAGCTGTTTGAAAAGACAGCTGTTTTACAATGTATCTCTTCACCTGCCTCTTTCAGCTTCACAATGGCAGCCTGACACAAAAGAGTGATTTCCATAGTCATCTTGAAGAAACTCAAGTCTTCTGAGAGTGTCCATAAGATGGGCTCTCTGCTAATAACATCCAGGAAGGGGCTGTGGTTAATAGCATGATAGTGTTTATAACAGAAGCCCAGGTTTTTAGGGACTGGTACTGAGAGGCAATGGTCCCTTCCAGGCTTAAACTTAGCACACATCCTTGCAGACCAGCAAATTGTTTTCACATTCATTGATTTTTATTTTTTTTTAAGTTTAATTTGATATTATTTTTAAGCCCTTTTTGGCCAAATAATACTTAGATTTTGTTAGCCTAGTGTCTTCCTTTTCTTTTTAAGAGAAATTTGAGCAATAATTTTTAAGGCTCTTAGCGTAAGTACAAAGTTCTGCAGTTTTTGTTTTGTTGTGTACAGCATATAATGCAACATCATTGATAGATGCTCAATGCTGCATTTTTTTTTTTTTAGAAAAGTATACAAGTTAAACATGTTCATTGGCATGATATTGAGTACCAGAGTATCAGCAGTCATAGAAACAAAAATAATGTACTGATGTTTAGTATTTTGCCTCATTTTATTAAAATGATGATAAGTAAGTAAAGGACACACAAGAGTACCAGTGTTTTATCTGTGTTAAATATAGTTGATTGTACAATAAGTTAGATAACTAAGTTCTATACCATTTTTGGAAACAAATACAGCCTAACCTGTGTCCATCAGCAAAAAAAAATCCAGTTAAAGCTGAAAATGCTCAGCTACATCCTCAGCTGGTATAAATAAATATGTGTGGATATATAATCCAGAGTTTGGTGGGCTGGACTTGAAACAAAAGTCTATTCCATATATATGTGTGTATCTCAGTACATAAATGTATACATATATACATATGTATTCCATACATATGTGTCTGCATACACATACCAGCGTGTATGTGTATGTATACTCTCACACACGTTTAGTATTATTATTATTATTATTATTATACATAAAATATGTGTGTGCATTTTCTCATGCACATGTGTGTTTGTATGGAATAGACTTTTTGTCTTGATCTACCAAACCCTGAATTCCTAGATAGGAGTGCAAAACCTTGAAATACTATATTACTAGAGCCTTGAGGTACCTGGACTTATAATAGGAGAATAAAATGTGTAATAGACATGAAGTATGTCTGACGTAGGTTTTGCACACTAGTTTTATGAAGGAATGAAAATCTTTCTTCCCAATTTTAATGGTCTTTTGCTTGGGACTTCCTAGTAAGCATTTTAATACCTAGGGAAAATCATAGCTCACCTAATGATAGTGTGTGTTCATTTCACAATACCTTGGGAAGTGTTGGGGGAGAGTCAATGAATGCTGTTCTGATGAGTGTTGAAACCACAGTCAGGTGGATGGCCTGTTACTTCCTGTGAAGTCCCATTGGCCTTTTCAGCTAGTTTCAGGGCAAAGTGCCAATGCACAACCACATCTGTCCATCTCTCTTGTAAAGTTACCAGATTGGAAGGAATTCATCTGTGATTAATTAGAGATACCTATTAATTGGCCTGCTTTAATTTCCAAGTAAAGTAGAACAGGTTTTTTATTGAGTTGGGGCCTCAAAGCGAAGCTGAGGGCATTTGGGCAAATCAAACCTTAATCTGAAATGTTGTCTCTCTTCTAAAAGGAAATAATCTACACTGGATAAAGTGCAGCTCTTCCAGTTACTGGGATTTGTCCAGAGTCTTATTTTGAGGGTTTCATGCAACTGTTATCTGCATCTACAACATTCCAGCCTAAATTGCTTTTTATTGTGCTTTGTAAACATCAACATATTGCAGAAAAACAACACTTTTGCTGTACTGTGAAATATAAAGTGGTTTTCCTCCTCTGACTACTCAGTGAAAATCTATCCTGTTATAGTCATTCTGGTGGAGATTTATAACAGTGAGATTGATTTAAGTACTTTTCAGCAATTACCATTTGCCCTTCCTTTACAAAAGCAAATACTTTTTGGCACAGACTCTGATGACCTTCTTAAGGGTGTCATGTACTGGGAGTGTTCCCACACGTGATATCAGTGTGTAAAATGTTGAAGCTCAGTATTGAAGCTAAAGTCATAATTTAAACAAGAATAATTGTTTTTCTGCCAGATCTCTTCAAGGACATCGCACCCAGATGTCCCTGTCACTGTAAAACAAACTAAGTAGTCAACATTGTTTCAGTTTGCTGAGGTATAACTGCTAATTTTTTTAGCTTTTGTATAGCAGGTTAGTCTCATGAGTACAAGTGAAGTGAACAAGTGGTAATTTCACAGAGCCATCACTTCACTGATTGAAGTGTTCCACTGGGGCAAATGGGTTTGGGAAGCAGCCAGTGGTCCAGGGAGAAGTAGGGTGATTGTTCCTAGCAGCAGAAGCACAAGCACATGACTCGCATGTAAAAGCAGTGGGATCGTGGGCAGCCAGTGTCTTTGTGTACCAAAGAACAGCCACAGACTTTCATTACAAGCAGACCCTTACTTAAGATCAAGGGAAACTACAAACCAAGGGGTGATCCAAAACAGTGTCTTGCATTGCCGGTGGAACAGCCCACAGCAGCTTGCATGATGGCGGCTGCCCATGGAGGCAGGAACGCTCCTCTGGAGTGTAAAGGTGCATTACAGAGTAAACAAGTCACAAGCGTTACAAAGCTATATAATGCCACAGTTAACCAATAAATAATGCATAGTAGAAGGCTTTTTAAAAAATACTCAGAATACTTGAGTTTACCTTTTCTTTTTATATTTCCCTGTAACTGGAGACTAAAGTTTATGGTAGATCTTGGGTTATTCTGTTGAATGTTTCTCCCTTTTAGAGAGTCTAGTATTGTGTAGTTAGTCTGTCGCATGGTCCTTGAGCATAAGAATTTTCACTGTACTTCACCCTGCACTGAGATGCATTATGGGTTCAGACAAAGATTTCCCACGTACCCAACTCATCCTTTGAGTTTGTGTTGGCCTGAATACAGTCCAAACCCTTTCCTTCTTTTAAGCTAATGATGCATTACCTGGCTTTGATCAGTTAAAATCTAATTTAAATTATGATAATTTGTTTGTGACCAGTAAGGGCCCAAAAGATATCTGAACAGCTGTGTCTTGGCATAAGATAAAATAGTACTAAATAGTAATGGGGTAAACGTCGCTCTCCAAATGTACAACAGTGTTTTTATTTTTATTAGTTGGGCAGCCCTTCTTAGAAAAGAAAATAGAACTAGTAGCATGAAATCATATATATTGGAACATTCAAAACTTATACAGAGAGGTTTAGCTATAGATTTCTTGTGAATTTTAATGCCTCAATTGAGCTGCATGCCTGCATGATCTCATTGTCTAGAAAATCTCAGCCCCCATGTGGTCTAGCCACATGACTCTATAGAATTGAACAAAATATTACCAGCTTTCTCCAAATTTTCAAACTGCCTTATAAAATTCAATAGATTATACTAGCTCTTCTTTGGGAGCTTGTAGTATCCCCATATAAATCTGTTGATTCCATAGATTTTCTTTAGGAGCATATCATAATGGCAGTGCACCTACTAGGGTCAGCTACATCACTCAGTATATTGAAGAAGATGAGTGAAATAGCAGGTATTGAGGGGATTTTAGGAAGTGCTTTATTAATGAATTTGAAAGGGGAGTTAGTTTTTGTTGTAAATGAATCTAGGATCTGGGGACAGTATGGCTGGGAAAGTTAAAATGTACTTATAGCTATGAGTTTGTGTTTGAAGAGAATCATTTTGGGCGAGGTTAGTCTTGTGTCTTAGGTGCTGGGGAATAATTTGAATTTAATTAGGGAGTTGAGAGACAGGGCTGTAAAAACATTTAGACACCAAAAAGTCTCTTGTCCCTGTTCACCAGTGCTGCTCCACTGTTATGTCAACATCATTACAATGCTGATGTCAGTGACTAACCTCTTTCTCAAAAGATCCAGAGAAATGGCATTTTTAAGGGTGCAGCCTGGCTACCTCTCGGTTATTCCAGGGGAAACAGAACATTCTGTAGTGTCTCTTTAAGCCCTTCTTTCTGGTGTTTAAAGACGCTTGTACTCTTTCTAATACAGGCCTTTCATTCACACAGACATCTTTTTTCTTTTTTTTTGGTCACGTTTGGCAAAAGTCCCGTTCCTTGCTATGCCGTTTCTTACTGTGCCCAGGCTACATTGATGTATTGCTGTACTTTGTAAGCTAAATTATGGTGAGCAAGTTGCAGCTAACTGCAATAAGCAATGTACAGTGCAATGAAAAAAATGGAGAGAAAGTAGTTATTTAACCAGTAGCCAAATAGTCCTGTGAAATTATGTGAATTGCGCTGTGGTCTGGTGTGCCTAGGGATTTTTGGCAGCTGTCCTAGACTGCTTTTTGTTCAAACTGGGTGTTCTTCATATGTTCCCTTTCTCTTTATTCCCTTCACAGCAGGAATGGATAAGGCTGGCTCTTTGTGGAAAGAGTGATCCTATCAAGTGGATGTGTCACTTATAATGGACAGCTTTCCCCCCAGGAATAGAAGTCCCCTGTCACTCATAGGAATCTCACTATACAGCATGGCATTCTTTCTTTATTGGTGGTTCAGTGTGCCTTTCGCCTTCTTGTTTACCTTAAGTGTTATAGTTTTCAGTTACACCTGACGATATAACTAACGAGGCCTGCCCCCTTCTTGACCTGCCACAATGGGAAATGAGAATGTTAGGAATAGCATAGTGCATGAGGGTATGCAGACAGATACCCTGGTCTTCCATGATATCTTAACATCCTCAGGAAAGTCCCACAAGTCTCAGACTACTGCTCAATTAGGACTCTTGGTCTCTGCTCACCCTGCAGGGATCTTGCCAACGTGTAATCAGTTGATGTAGTCCAAATGTTGTCCTTCCCGTGCGTTTTGTCTTGGAAGGCCAGTAGTACAGCCTGGAGATTCTAAGCAGCAGTGTATTGCTGGCTCTTGTTAGAGAGCTCTCTGGTAATGCGGACTGCCTGTGATCTCCTTTTCATGTAAGGGAAACAGAACAGATGGAAACACTTGTTCTCCTGGTCTTATCAGAGATCTGCTTGGCAAATGAGAACAGATGGCAAAGACTGCTGTGGAGTGAAGAATCGCACACATCTCTTGGATTTACTTAACTAAATTCTCATCTTTTATTAAACAAAGAAAATGTTTCCGATGAGTGACGGCTAGAAAATCACTAGTCGTCATTTATCAAAAAAGTTCACTCTTCTCGTAGCTGCTCTTCTCTAGACTGATTAACAAAAGACAGGTGCAGGCTACCCCTCAAAGTTACAACAATGTGGAATCCCCCTCTCTAGTCAGACAAAGTGCTAGTAGCCAGGATATAGGAACACTTGTGGAGGAATTCATCCCTGGTGCATTGATCTGGGCCATATGTAAAATGACTCTGCGATGATAAAAAAGATCCTAAAAATGACAAATGTTTGGCTTAGAAGCCAGCCCCTTTGTATAGGTTCAGCATTTTATATGGGAATCTCTTTGAGGCAGGGACTGTTTCTATATAGTGTCTCGTACAATGGACCCTTGATTGAGTCTCCAGAAGCACTATAATAGGAGTACTAAACAATCACTATTAGGAGTATTAAATAACACAGCAATAATGTTATATTGTATATTAAATATAGGTATGTACAGCCAATGAGCAACAACACTATGGGTGGTTTTGGTTTTGTATTTATTTCTGTTATCTCTGTGAAATGGGAAGTGATCTATTCCAAAGGAAAGAAGTCCTTTAAATGTATATCAATTCCTAGAGCTAGACTTAACTTCAGCTAAAACTGGATCACTATGTAGATCCTGAGCATCCCCATCTGTAAATGTATTTTGCAGTGAATACCTGGGAACACTGATGCCCTGAAGAACCTAGGTTATTGGCACTTACACCAGAAAATAGCATTTTAATTCTGTGTCCTACAAAATCCTGGCTGGACAACACAATGACCTGCTACATAAGTGATGATAACAGTCATTCTGATTCTTCTTTCAAACAGTCAGAATGATCTTATCGCTATGTTACCCGCAATAGTCCCAAAGCAGTTACCAAAGCAGATGGCTCATAGTGTCTGCTGATCCTGAGCACTGCATTTAATGAAGGGTTTGGTAAACTTTTATCTTAAAAAAATAAACCAAAACAGTCATCAAACCCAAGTAACAGCCTTTCCCTTTAGCTAGCCATTTGGAAAGGTTTCTCAAGACTTCCAGTATAACGTCATTCAACCGTTGCCTGCTTCTTCTAAGTAATACATTTTTGCAGCTCCCTCCAATAGTTGCATGAAGCCTGTTACACAGAAAAACCTGCAGTCGCAATGTGTTGACTATGGAGGTTAAAAATGAGGTTAGCAACCCTAGAGCCTGATTCAGAACCAAGTTATATACCTGTTGATGCTCTGTTGACCTTAATAGAAATTAAATCTATACTTATATCCTGCCTGAGTAGGGGTACTTACTTGAACTATGGCACATAAGAATATAGTATCCTATATTTATCCAACCCATCTGTAATATCATAATAACAGCTGATGGTTTCAGCCTTTTAGCCTCCCTGTCTTTCCCCAGAGAGACTCATCTACTTTTCTCTTCTGTTTGTTTACAACACAGATCTCATCAAATACTTCACAGTTGGCGAGTCCTGAGTCAGGGAAGCACTGTGGCAAGTCAGCGCTCTTCCAGTTGGCAGAGGTAAGGATCCAGTTGTCATCACGGTGTGCATATACTTGCATATTTTCCAAAAAGTACCGGTTACACAGGTTAGTGTAGTGCCAGAGTCAGTTTCAGAAACAAGAAAAAAAAGCTGCTAAATAGTAACACAGATAATAAATGTTGCCAGTAGAGGCCCCTGAGGCATACATGCATGGTAAATGTAAAAAAATCCTTGGAGACCGTAATGAAAAGGTAAGATTCCTCCTCCCAAAAAACTAATCGCATAACCCAGACAAAAATAATGCTCATAGAGTAACTATAAGAAGAAAAAATATGGGTCATTTGTGAGTAAGTGTAGAGGCCCTGATACAAGAAAGCATGTAAACACTTGTTTAAATTGCATCGTCTAAACATGGGAAATGCTTACCTGAACTGGGGCCCAGCATTGGAAACTGGGGGGGAGGGGTATGTGTAGCATGTGGAAGGCTACCAATTAGTACGCTAACTTTGAAGATAAAATGTTAACATAGATCAGTAAACGGCAGTAGCTGGTATAGCGAGCAGTGCCTACTAGAGTGATCATAGTTAAGTGAAGCCAAGCCAGCTGTAAGAGAATGTGAACTTTGTAAACCCGAAGATCAAGTTAAATGTAATAAAACTGCACGAAGCAAAGGAAGGTGCTACTTCATCAGGCAGCATTGTATGTGTGATTTTAACATTCTACCACTTTGAAAATAGCCAGCCTGATTCCACCAGCACAGTTCTGGAATGATGTTGCTGCCAACTCCATCCTGAGGTTTGCACATCATTATTAGGCACAGATCTAATGCTACAGAGAAGTTTTATAAGGGAACACCTAGTCATAGGAAAGCCCACATGCTCGGCCACAGAAGCACAGCTTTGTTCCACAACTTGAAAGAGAGGACGAAGCTGAGTCTGCTAGAGAGGCGTATAGCTCGTTAAATCCACATCGTTGATTTTTCCTACAGTGGCTATTCAAATTAATACATGCAAGGCTAATTTAATCTACAAAATGAATGTAAAGGTTCTCAAGTCGGCTTACAAGAATGGCAAACATTCTGAAGGCATCATTCTGTGTTTATGTAGTGCAGCACATTAATGCCCATAGTCTTTTTGTTTTTGAGATCTCTGCAATGCATGCTCATAATTGAATGCAGAAAATATGAGCGATTTGGCTTAACTTTTGAGTTTCTTAACTTTTTAAATGAGCACTGGATGAGCAGTTCAAGGCATTAATTTGAAGCATCCCCAATAAGCTGTGTTGATATCCCCTGGAGTGAATCCCAGCATTGCAAGCTCAGCTGGCAGACATCTGTGTTGTGCCATTGTAACTCAAATCATTTTGTCGTATGCTCTAGAGAAGAGCAGACTTATTTTTGCCCTGCATTGTCAGCACAGAGTCCTGCGCTGTGAGAGAGCATCGCCAAAGTCCAAGGAGAAATTCAGTTTCACTGTAACTGACTTTCTTTGTTTGTCCTCTTTTATTTTTATGGATCTTAATCAACCGTTCAACTTCACTTTCAAGCTTAAAAAAAATATTCCTTGTGACAGTTTTCTGAGAGTACCAAAAATACACTTCGAATTTGGATTAAACCAAATGTGTGGCATCTCACTGGAGTCAGTTCAGTGATGCTGGTTTTACTACAGATCACTGATAGCCCTGGAAAGAGCACATGGGCAATACAGGCCCGAAAACTGACAACAGAGAGCAGAGTTCAGGTCCATTGTTCAATGTCTCTCAGTGATTTGGGAACTGAGTAAAAAGATATAGGCTCCTTGGGATGACAGCCTCCTTCAAAGAAGCGCTTTTGGTCTGTCTGTCCATCTCTCTCCTCTTTAGGGCAGCAGTGTGGTAGATTCTATGAAGTTATATTCATATACATTGAACAAATAAATGTTTCTAGTTAGGTTAGGAGGAGGGGACTGAATGAATAAAAAGCTTCCTGGCAGTAGAAGAGCTTTTCATAAAATGTAGACCCCCAATCTCTGAAGGTATAAATCCCATCACTAGCCACGGACTGGGAGTAAAGCCTGAGTAGCCATGTACAAGCCCTTGGGGCATAAAACCAATTATTGCTCAGGTCCTTGGATTAGTGGAAAGTAGGTTGTACCATAGGCTGGATACACACGTTCAAATAATCTGGGAGAATTTTCTCAAGTTTTTTCTCCTGATAGAAAAACATATCCAGCACATCATATATAGATATTCACTCTCATAGCAGAAACTCTCCTGGGAGTGATTTAACCCTAGTTGTTCCCAGGTTATTTGTCCTTTGTAGGGGCCATTTTTACTCTGGGAGAAAAAAAAAATCATCTGTACACCTGTGGTCTCTCCTGGGTGAACAGTGACTCTCCCAGGAAAAACTGAATGTCTATACAAGGCCTTGGTTGCCTTTTTCAGGACTTTTCACTAGGGCTGAACTCCCTGAAGCAACAAGGAGGATTCAAAGTAAAACCAATTCAAAGTAAAATGTGGACTTCAAAAACAGTTTGTCAGGTGTTTCATTGGCATAATCTGCCGCTGCCTCTTTGATTCCATTAGAATCAAATTACAAGGGCAAGGAAGCTTGTCCTTTATTACAGTCTTCTGTGAAAAGAAACCATAATTAATAAAAACCCAGAAACAGAAAGTAACTCTTACTGTCATTGCTGTGCCACTGACTGCAAAGTTTGCAGAATTCTCCCCTTTATAAATAACAGACACACAACCTTTGTATGAGTCATCGTTGCACAGTTCTACACTTTCTTCTTTCTCAATATTTAACTTTCCATGTGTGTCTTGGAAAGGGGAAGGAGATAATCCTTTTATAATCTTACGTTCAACATGCAGGAACCATGTATTGGTAAAATAATGGGTTTTTTTCACCCACCTTTGTTTCTGCTTTAGATTTCCTCAAGTACCTCCCATTCAGGCCCTTCTGACTTAAAGCAATGTGGAACATCAGCGTTGTTTCAGTTGGCAGAGGTAATATTAAAATACTGGTGATTAATTACCACTGGTGCAGTGGGGAGGAAAAGCTAATGATGCTGATTGCCAGAGTCTGGAAGGCAGAACAGTAGCACAGTCATAATTACATTGTTGTTTATAGAAGCATAAATTATCACTTGGGTGCAAAGAGTCGAGATTTCCCTAGACTAGCCATTAAGGCATAGGCTGTCTCTGCTTCTGAGTTAACAGATAAGAAGTCCAAATCCCTGATGACAAGGATTTTCTGATTTATATTAAAATCATTTTTGGGTTTTTTTACTTTTCTTTTTTGAATTACTGTCTTATTCAGATTAGAGCATTGTCATTGCAAACCTGTTTTAAAGTCATTAGTCACTTTCATTTATTTCTACTCTTCATGCAAATTGTTGTATCAGTGAGGAATGAATAACTCTGATTTCTAAAGGAGTTCTGTTATGATAACCTGCAGTTGACAACAGACTATCCTTTTGGGAGCAGCTAAAATGAATGGCCCTTCATAGAAACATTTATTTCTCTTGTCCCCAAACTTTTCTAAGCCTTCCAAATGATAAAGTCCACATGTTACAAGTTCATTTAGATCTGACAGCGTCCAAACCCCTTTTCATAACTCTGCCTCCTACAACAATCTAGGGCCTTCTCTACTAGTTTTTAGAAAAGGAACGAAATGTATGTAGCAGAAGTAGGAAAACTATGACAGAACATTTATGTTCCATAAACAGGATGTTTTGTAGATACGAGGTTGAGGTTTTCCAGGCTACCTTTGGGATTTGGAAAATCGCAGAACACATCTACCCTAGACCCAGTAGCATGGAGTAGAGACTGAGCAAGCCTGAAGCACAGTGTAAGAGGGCAGTTTGTGAAAGCTTGTAGTTTTTTGTCTCCCTTACTAGAGCTCTTCTGCGGACAGAACAAGGAAATTTGCTCTGCTATGGGCAGAGTTTGAATTACACTATGACTCTTGGGGGGGGTGGGGGCGGGGTCTGCAAACAAAATTAGACTGTTCATCACCTAATAAATTGGAGACCCCCCAGGTTATGATTTTCAAAGCTTACAGGTGGGCTTTTGTCTCTTATGGTGGGGCTTAGCTTCCCCCCAAAATCCCCTGTAATTCGAACTCTGACTATGTGTATCGCTCAGAAACGTGGTCTCCAAGGTTCTAATGTAATACTGTGTTTGAACAGACGTGTGACTGGGAGGGCTTTCCTGTGTTGTTGAAAAGAGATATAAAACTTTAGAAGGTTTTTTGCAGCTGGGGGGTTTGCTTTGTTTTTAGTTTGGCTTCGCAAATCAAATAAATAGAAAGCAATTCTAATATCTAGAGTTAGTGAAATTATTCTTCTTTTACTGGCCTCTGAAAGTGAGGACCAGAATTATATCTATGGACTTAGAATTTGTGGGGGACTTTGGAGGGCGGTTGAGTGCTTGTGTTACCTAGCTTATTGGCAGTGAGTTACTAAATGGTACCAATGTAGTTTGGCTAGTGTCTGTGCTGTGCTTTTCAAATTGTACAAAGGGAACATAGGTCCTCCTTCTGAGACCTCTGAAATCAATTGGAGTGTGTCTATTAGACTGCTAAAACATATAGGCCTCAATTCAGCATTTAAACATATACATATATATATATAACGTATTTACATGCATCCTGAAAAAGGGTTTGCTTTCCAAAATCAGGGTGTTTTGATAAATGCCTCTTTCTAACATTTCTGTGAATCTACGTAATTAAATGTGATAACTGGAATATTTGAGTGGTAGTGACTGTTTGTTTGTGTGTTTAAACTTTAGATGTGCCTTGCTACAGAGGCGGTAAATGTGAAAGATCCCGAGAAGGTGAAAGTGGAGACATCCGAGGATGTGAAAGTAGAAGCCCCAGAGGAAATGGGAGTGGAAGACCTGGAGAAGGCAAAAATAAAAGACTTGTGTAAAGTAAAAGCGAAAGAATGTGAAATAGTGAAAATGAAAGATCAGGAAGAGACAAAAAGTGAGGAGTCTGAGGTTACAAAATGTAGTCATTTTACTGATCCTGCAATGGACAGCAGTAACTTTGAGGGAGATGATAGCACAAATGCAAAAGATCACTCGTGTTGTTCTCAAGAGCTTTCCCTTGCTGAAATTAACATGCTAGGGCTGACCAAACCAGAAAAGATAAAGAAGAAAAAGAAAAAAAATAAGATGGACCGACACACCAATGAAAAATCCACCCCCAAGAAAGCTTGTAAAAAGAGACAGTCTTCTGAATCAGACATTGAAAGTGTAATTTATACTATTGAAGCAGTTGCGAAGGGGGACTGGGGAGCTGAGAGACTTGTTGAAATTCCCCGCAAAAAAGTCCGCCCTGCCTCAAACGTGAAGGGAAGCTTATTGGACACAAAGTCACCAAAGAAAAAAGTGAAATCAAAAGAGAAGAAAACATCAAAAGAAAAACCCATGGAGACTACCAAAGAATCAAAGCCTCCTGATTTTCTTAGTGTTACAGCCAACAAGGAGGTGCCTTGTGATGAGGTACCTGACAACATAAAAGTGGAACCATTAACCCCAACAGAAGAGGTGGTACCACAAAACTTACCAGGACAGGTCAAAACTGAGGACAGTGACTGTGTTAAAAAGATAGAAACCTGTGGCTCCAGGAAATCAGAGAGATCATGCAAAGGTGCTCTTTATAAAACTCTGGTGTCAGAGGGCATGCTCACATCCCTGCGTGCCAACGTGGACAGAGGTAGGAGATGCATTTATTTACAGTGTGAGGGTCTGAAGCAGCCTTCCCAGTCATTTTTAAGAAGGAGCTTGATAAGTTTATGAACAGATTAAATGATGGTATGGTTGCCTGAAAGGCTGGGAGGCCCTTGCCAGTCCTGTCTGCACAAATCAGAAACCATTAAGTAGACTGTGTGAAAACAACATCTTATGTTTGCCTTCCGTAAATCACATGCTGATTCATGACCACAAGTTTGTAATGCAACCAGCAACTTATTTAGTCCAGTTAATACATATACTATACTTACCTTTAATGCACTGTGAAAAAAATAATCTTTAAAGCATGTTTCACTATAGAAATGGTTAATCTGCTGAGAGATGTGGCCCAGGGCTTGAATTTTTTCCATAACACTGATCCCTGGCTCAGGAGTATTTGTTTTCTGTATGAAACAGCTCCTGTTAGTAATGGTTATGAATCCAGTTCTCATTCCTAAAAGGGACAGTTTGATTTTTCTGATATATATATTCCTGTCCCCAAATAATAAGCACAATAACAATAATAGAAGTAAGGGTTATAAATAATGTAAGATTCATTCCTTCTAGACGGGAACATGATCTCCTTGGGTACAAGTTTGCATATCTGTTACCTTTCAAGTTTCCAAGCTTTGCATCTTTGATGCCCAGCACAAGAAACTCCATTTGAGTGGAAGGTTATGTTTGAGTCTTAAAAGCATGACGTTTCATCAGAAGGGTACATATATAGGCATTTTTCAAGCGGCAAATATAAACGAATAATCTGAATTGCCAAATGAAGAAGAGAAACACCTTGGGTTTATATTTGTTTTGTTAGTTTTAAATCTATGAAACCCTTTTCTCCTTTGTCTATCTACTTAGAAGTCCTATGGCTTAGCAGAAGGTTCCCAAAATGGGCATCTTCTGAGGGAGTAAATGCTGGATAAATCAAGTTGCTAGTAAGCAATCTTGTTATCTTAAGCTAGCACTGGTTCCTTTGAGAAGAATATGGAAACTCGATCAATAGATATTTCACTATTCGATGTGTATACAGGCTTCTTGTGAGCCCCCTGCACTGTGACTCATTTTCTGTGAGGAAAATCAAAATCCCTCTTCCTGCTTTCTAGGCAAACGAAGCTCAGGAAAAGGCAACTCCTCAGATCACGAAGGATGCTGGAATGAAGAAAATTGGGCATTTTCCCAAAGTGGGACAAGTGGGAACAAGAAGCTGAAAAGGTCTAGGCCAAAAGAAGAATTCATTCTAGGGTAAGCTGACGAACCTTACATGAAAAAAGTTTTTCACAAATGGGATTTGTTTCCAATCTGTTCTTAGGGCTAGGGGGATAGATTTGGTAGTTGGGCAGCTCTGGATAATTGTGTACATTTTGCTAGGAAACAGCATGGCCAGGAGCCAGATGCTTCTGAGTCAAGGTCTTCATTCTCATTCAGCTATCTTTGACCAGCAGTTTTCAAAATGGCCTCTGAACTTTCCAAATTTTAGATATTCTGGGCCTGTTAAAGGGCATAGAGCTCTCACAACTGTAGTTAATGTCAGTGGGAGCTGTGGAGTACCCAGCGGCTTAGAAAGTGAGGCCCCATATGTCTCAAACCAGATACTTGGATATAGAGAGCACTTCTGAACTTCCCAGCCATTGTCTTTTTGAGCCTTGTCCTGTTTCCTTGTTGATTTTAAAGTAATGCAATTCCATTGAAATTTACTTATCATTTACTCTGATATAAACAAATGATTTTGTTTTAAACTGGGTGATGATGATGATTATTTCCCTATTTCTAAAATGGATACAATATCTGCTAGTAAGGAGGGGGCCTGCAAGTAAGTTAGATTTTTTCAGAGCATTTTAGAAACTAAATTTAAAATTCTGTGCAGGTTTTAAACCATAACATCCATAAAGCACCAGACTGGTAGATGGTAGTCTCAAAAAGAGATTATTCTGCAAGGCTCCTTTCTTTTTTTCCCCTTTTAAACAGTGTTCTAACACTGCCAAGCAAATAATTTTGCAATTATAGAGGTAAATACATAAAATAAAAAGGAAGAGAGGATAAGGCAATGGAATAAATCAGAAAAAGTAATAGTTTGATTTTAATGCATTTACAAAGGTACCTAGAAGTGGCACTCATGAATAGCAATTCTTCTCATAGTATTAACAGATTTATATACCTTCAGGCATAGTGGTAAAAAATCTGTTTAATCATTCATACTTTTTTGCAAATCCTTGGAGATTTCTAATTGTCTGAGTTCAGGGTGGGGAAATTGAATAAAGAAGGTGTAGATTTTCTCAGTGCTTTAAGCTTAAAGTTGTAATGGGCTTCTTTTGTATAGTCTTTTCCATTGTCTGGTGCATCTGAAATTTAGTTGAAACCTACTTTATTACAAGAATATTAACTTATTTTAAATCTCCAAATGTTCTTTTTCTCTGGAATAGTCTCAGCAAACCCAGCAAATTAAACACTGCACTTCGCTTGTTTTCAGTATTTTGTGTTCTGTTCAATGATACAGAGGTTTTACAGCTATGTTCTATCAAAAGCTTTCAAAGAATTTCCAATTTTTAAATTAAATTTAACATGCGGATCAGATAATCTCATGAAAATTGGGACTGTTGCATCTCAGTTCACTTAAAAACATGGATGTAAACTATTTATTCCAAGTTGCTAGGCAAAAAAAATTGCAAATGTAATTGTCATGTACATCTATTTGGATAGTGATGATATGTTTGGTAATAATTTATCTCCGGATTCAGCAAGGTCATTCGCAAATATTTTTCAACAAACTTTACTTGAACTAATAGTGACTTCTATCATATATCTTTGGAATAATAAAAATATTCCTCCCATAGGCAGGCAAAAGAGTCACCATGAAACGAAAAACAGATGTAATGATCACTGTTCCACTCTGAACATCAGAAGATCAGATACCTAACAAAATATATAAAATGATTACAGGGCCAAGTAAAATGAGATCGATTTGAGAGTTTTGCTACTCATAATGAATGCTTCATTTTAAGAGCGGTTTCAAAGAACACTGAAAAACACACACATTTTGTTTTCTCTTTGATCTCTTTATCATTCTACTTCACATAACAGATTGATTATGATGAGCAGAAACCGGTTGAATATAGAGGTGCATTGATATATCAGTCCATATTGTATTGGCACCGATAAAAGGAAAATTGAGATTATTAGCAATTGACATTTTTTTGGCCATTGTGGCTATTAATGTCACCAGTAAATGCTGTGCGCATGCACACAGCCATAGAATGCACATGGCCAGGAATGCATTTGGGCAGCTTGGAGAGCAGCATCCAGCTGGTAAATCTATGGGGTGGAAGGGACATGAGGTGGGGGCAGATCAAGGCTCCCACAGTGAGGGAGGGCATGGGGCTGGGACAGGGATGGGTGCTGCTCAGCTGGGGTGGAGCTGCAAGTAGCTTTTTGGCAGGAGGCGGCTCCTGCTGCTGGACACACTCTGGTGGCAGATGTGGAAGGGCCCCCCCAGATGTGTTTGCAGAGCACGGGTAGGCTGCTCACTGCAGGCTCATGGCTGGGGGGTGCACCAGCCTCTTCCCAGCAGGAGAGCTGGGCCGGGGCTATGCTTGGGGCAGGCAGAGGTAGGGCTGGTGAAGGCGGCACTGGGAGGGAGGTTTATGTGGGAGCTACAGCAAATTTTGGGGTGGCTATAGCCCACTCCATAGCCCCCTCTCCCCAGCACTGCCCCCACCCACCCTGAGCACAGCCCTCTCACTGGGAAGAAGCTGGCGCAGCCCCTGGCCTCGAGCCCACAGCAGGCAGCCCACCCTTTCCCCACACACAAATCCAGGGGACATATGCTCCCTGTGCCTCCCCATGCCCCGCTGTACCCTGGCTGAGCAACACCTGCCCCTGCCCCATGCTCTCCCTCACCATGGAGGCCTCGATCTCCCACACACTTGTTGGTGGGACACTGCTCTCCAAGCTGCCGGGCTGCATATCAGCAATTGGATCAGTATCAGCTGACATGGCTGGTTAATAAGCAGCCATCGGTCTTAGACAAAGAAATCCTTATCTTTGCACCCCTGGTTGAATACTTGACACCTATACAAAAATATTAGTTACAAGTATTGAAGTTTTACTGAACTCTAGTACCCATCCCAGAAAATTTTTTAACTCTACCTATCTGAACCCCTGAACTCTTCTTCCTTTAGCTTAGCAAAGCTGGAAGAAGAATTTGAAAAGAAATTCAACAGCCTCCCTCAGTACAGTCCAGTTACGTTTGACCGGAAAAGTGCATCTGTTCCAAGGAAAAAGAAGAAGGTTGGAAGCTACTCAGCAGAACAACCAAAATCCAACAAAGGTAAGATGTTTCTGTGTTTATATTCAGTAACTGCTGCTGTGTGCTCATCACAGAAGTTGTTCCATTTTTACCTCCTTATATACACTTACAGGTGAGGCATATGAAGTCAAAATAGCTCTCTTCAGAAGCACAGAGTTGGTTTACATCACTTTTCAGTGTTCACTATTGTTTTCTGTTTGAAGAATTCACCTGGAAAGTTATGCATGCTGCATTTCTGCAGTTCTGGCTGTTTTTAATACCAGTACTGAATAGAACTGATGGGGAAGTTTTCGGCAAAAGTTTTTCATTTAAAAAAATGTGGATTTATTGAAATAGGCAGTTTCCATGATCTGTTTCTATTTCAATAAATGTTCCTGTTTACAAGATTTCATGTATTAAATATGGGAGAAAAAGGCTGAACATCTGTACACTTGTGGCTTCTCCTGGGAGAGCAGCAGTTCTTGCAGGACTCTGTATGAGTCCTCTACATAAACCATCTTAGCCAAGTGTTTATCTAACCTGCTCTTAAAAATAATTTCCAATTATGGGGATGCCACGCCCTCTCTAGGTGACCTTCCGGTGCTTAACTACTCTGATAGTTAGAAAGTTCTCCCTAATATCCAACCTGAATTTCCTTTCTTGCAACTTCAGATGATTCGTTTCTTGCTCTGTCCTTTGCAGTTACAGATTCACTATTCTTTTTATATCCACTTTCCTTGTATTTAGAGACTGTTCTCAAATTTCCTGTCATCTTGTCTCCAGACTAAGTAATCCCAATTCTTCAAATGTTTCCTCGTGAAAAGGAGTGATTTACCAGTAAGTCTGTTGTTCTGATGGGCTTAGGCAGTAAGATGGTGATAACAGATGAAACGCAAATAACTTTTCATCAGCTATTGTACAGAGGTGCACTGAAACATTGGTCCCATTTTGGATTGCCACTGATATAACGAAAATTGACTATCGGCAGTCGGCGTTTTTAGACTGATGTAGCTGATAATGCCACTGATAAATGCCCCAAATATGTACAGCCACAGCATGCAGGCAGCCAGGAGCAGAGCCCAGCAGTGTAGAGAGCAGCCGAGTCTGGCTAGTAAGTCTGTGAGGAAAGGGACATGGAGGGGAGGGCAGATTGAGGCCCTAGTGGTGAGAGAGGGAGTGGGGCTGGGGCAAGGGCAAGAGCTGCACAGCTGGGGTGGGGCATGGGACAGAGTCATGAGCAGCTCATTGGCGGGAGATGGTGGCTCTCACTGCTACACGCACCCCAGGAGAGGCTGGGGGGCATGTCCCCATATCTGTTCACAGGGCAGAGGCAGGCTGCACCTGCAGGCTGGGGCTCAGGGCAGGCAGTGATGGTGCTGGCAACGGGAG